TGGAAATTTGGAAAAGGAAACTCCCATACGGTGGCATAACTGAACAATAATTAATGGACCAGAGAAGGTTTATCATCCGGAGTAAAGTGTTTTCAGAACTGGAATTGCAAGAACTAGAAAAATCAACACAAATGAAAATTGAAATGATTAAGGGGAAAGTAAAGGCTGTGAAAAATTGGTCCAGATGAGCTGCACAGATTTTGGTTAAAGCATTTAACAAGTCCCCATTAAAGTACAGCAGTGCAATTTAATCACTTACTCCAAAATTCTACAACTGAAGATTGGATGACAACAGGCCACACATTTCTGTTAATAAAAGATAATCAAAAGGGTAATGAACCCAGTAATTGTTGACCAATTACATGCCTTCCAACAATGTTCAAGCTCCTCACAGGAGTACTGGCAAGATCAATATTTAATTATTTAACTGAAAACTTCCTATACCCAACTGAACAGAAAGGGAACTTTAAAAAGTCAAGCGGCACAAAAGATTTATTGATAAATGATATTGAAGAATGCAAAAAGATGAAAAACAAACCTTAACATGGTGTGGATAGATGATAAAAAGGCATGTGACTCATTGCCACAAAACTGGATTAACACCTGGCTAAAAATATTTGGGATTAGTAAAAACATTCAGAAGTTCCTCAAGAAAAATGTGGAAAAATGGGAAACTGTCTTAATGGTCTATGGTGAAGAAATTGGCAAAATTACTATCAAAAGAGGAATATTTTGAAGGGGATTCTTTATCACCACTGCTGTGTAACATTTCACAAATTCCCATGTCAATAATTTTAAATAAAATTGGATTGGGCTATCATATTTCAGAACAAGCAGGGAACATCAATCATCTGTTATACATGGATGACCTAAAACTATATGCAAAAGGTTCCACGGAGACAGAATCATTGCCAAACACAGTGCAAATATTTAGTGAAGATATCCAAATGAAATTTGGAATTGACAGATGTGCAGCTCTGTCTATACACCGTGGCAAGATCCAAATGCTAAATGGAATAGAGTTTTAAAATGGCAATATTATAAAATCACTCTCAGGTGATGAAAATTGTATATACCTTGGAATCGTGCACACAAAAGTTAAACAATAGACAGAAAGGGAATATATCAAAAGATTGTGGAAAATCTTAAAGTCAAATTTAAATGGTGGAAATACAATCAAAGCCATAAACACATGGGCAGTTCTGGTAATTAGATACCCAGCTGGAATAATTGATTGGACTCAAAAGGAATTAGATTAATTAATAGAAGCTAATAAACATACATCATGCACTACATCCAAAAGGTGATGTGGACAGATTATACTTGCCACGAAAAATCGGTAGCTGTGGATTACTGCAAATACAGCAGATAGTAGAGGAGGAAAAAGAAGCCTAAGTGATTATATCAGTAGAAGCAAATATTCCTTACAGCAGTGAAAATGGAGAATATTTTGAAAACAACAGAAACAAAGGCTCGATATAAGAAACAACAATTTGAAAATAAATGAAACAGATGGGAAAATAAACCACTACATGGACAATGCCTGAGAAATATTGATGGAAAGCATGATCATAATTCAACATGGGCATGGCTAAAACTGGGGACCCTCAAGAAAGGAACCAAAGGCTGGATTTTGCTGCACAAGAACTAGCACTCTAAAACCAACATGATGAGAGCTAAGAACCAAGGAATTAGTGCTAACAGCAAATGCCGAATCTGCCAAGAAAAAGATGAAACTGTCACACCTCATCTGTGCATGTCCAAATATTGCACAAACAGATTACAAAATTATACATGACAGAGTAGCAAAATTCGTGCACTGGTCATTATTCAAAAAATATAACTTGCCAGCCTTCAACACCCATGGGAACATCAGATAGAGAAGGTATCAGAAAATGAGGGAGTCAAGATCTTGTGGGATTTCTGAATCCAAACAATATCTTGAACATTACACACCAGACGTACAGTAATAGAACAAAGAAATGTCTCAATCATTCACATTGCAATTCTGGGGGATGCCAGAGTTGAAAATAAAGAATTGATAATACTAACTGTGACGTGTGCCATGACGTCACATGCCTGTCTTGGCTAAGGCTGGAGTTTCCTGGCCTATGGCAGGGCAGGAGGTGGGTCTTAAAGGGGTGGAGTTAATGTATATAAGGGTGAAGTGCAAAGAGATAGATAGATAGAGGGCTGAGAGACGGCTTGAAAGAAGATCTGTAGACAGGATTAGATATAGGTTAGGTAACTGAGTGTTAAGTAACAAAGAACTGTGCAGGGTTAAGGTCTGAGAAATATAGTGTGACAAGTGATTCTTTTACTCAGTGATTTCCATTTTATTTTTGTATTCAATAAATCATCATTTTTATTTTGAAATCCATACTAAGTCTGAAGTGTCAGGTTTATGTGTGGTTGGTGGCAGCGAAGTTGTGTATGTGTGTGTGAAGGATCGTGACCTGTCATCTCTTGTGGGGACGTAGGAGGAGGTGGCAGTCGCGACACTAACAAATACCATACATAATACCGTACAATTGCACCCATTTCCCAAAATAGCAAGGTTATGCTCAAAATCCTACAAGGTAGACTTCAGCAGTATGTGGACTGAAAACTCCCAGAAGTACAAGCTGGATTTCGAAGGCGCAGAGGAACTAGAGACCAAATTGCTAACATCCACTTGATTATGGAGAAAGCCAGAGAGTTCCAGAAAAAAAATCTACTTCTGCTTCATTGACTATGCAAAAGCCTTTCACTGTGTGGACCACAATAAACTATGGCAAGTTCTTAAAGAAATGGGAGTGCTTGACTGCCTTATCTCCTGAGAACATATGGAACAACTGATTGGTTCAAAATTGGGAAAGGAGTACGACAAGGCTGTATATTGTCCTGCTGTTTATTTAACTTATATGGAGAATACATCATGCGAAAGGCCGGACTGGAGGAATCCCAAGCCAGAATTAAGACTGCCGGAAGAAATATCAACAACCTCTGATATGCAGATGATACCACTCTGATGGCTGAAAGTGAGGAGGAATTAAAGAACCTCTTAATGAGGGTGAAAGAGGAGAGCACCAAAAATGGTCTGAAGCTCAACATAAAAAAAACTAAGATCATGGCTACTGGTGCCATCACCTCCTGGCAAGTAGAAGGGGAAGATGTAGAGGCAGTGACAGATTTTACCTTCTTGGGCTCCATGATCATTGCAGATGGTGACAGCAGCCACGAAATTCAAAGACGCCTGCTTCTTGAGAGAAAAGCAATGACAAACCTAGTCAGCATCTTAAAAAGCAGAGACATCACCTTGTCGACCAAGGTCTGCAAAGTCAAAGCTGTGGTTTTCCCTGTAGTGATGTATGGAAGTGAGAGCTGGACCATAAAGAAGGCTGACCGCCAAAGAATTGATGCTTTTGAATTGTCGAGCTGGAGGAGACTTTTGAGAGTCCCCTGGACTGCAAGGAGAGCAAACCTATCCATTCTGAAGGAAATCAACCCTGAGTGCTCACTGGAAGGACAGATCATGAAGGTGAGGCTCCAGTACTTTGGCCATCTCATGAGAATAGAAGACTCCCTGGAAAAGACCCTGAGGTTGGGAAAGTGTGAAGGCAAGAGGAGAAGGGGACAACAGAGGACGAGATGGTTGGACAGTGGCATCGAAGCTACCAACATGAATTTGACCCAACTCCGGGAGGCAGTGGAAGACAGGAGGACCTGGCGTGCTCTGATCCCTGGGATCACCAAGAGTTAGACATGACTTAAAGACTAAACAGCAACAACAAATTCTAACAAAATATAGAGATCTGGAAATTGAAACATCTTGGATGTGGATGAAACACACTTTAGTGGTCCCCATAGTCGTTGGGGCTTTGGGAACAATATCAAGAAATTTCACACAGTACTATAAAGCAGCTGCAGATCTCAGAAACCACACCATCAGAGCTAAAAAAAAACGGAAATATTAGGAATAACATACTGTGTTTTCCCGAAAATAAGACAGAGTCTTATATTAATTTTTGCTCCAAAAAAAGCATTAGGGCTTATTTTCAGGTGATGTTTTATTTCTTTCATCTACATTTATTCAAATACAGTCATGTCATCTTCTTCTGGTTGCTGCACAATGGTGGCAGGCTGGGTTTCACTTAACTGGGGCTTATTTTTTGGGTAGGGCTTATATTACAAGCATCCTGAAAAATTAGGTCTTATTTTAGGGGAACAGGGTATATATTGAGCCAATATTTAACAGATACTTATATTTTTGGTTAAAACCTGTATGTTTTATATAATACCAGTCCATGTTTTTATAGTTATGAGTTTTTGTGCCCCATGTTTTATTACAACAACAACAGCAACAACTGTTTTTTTAGTGCTGAATTGGGTTTCCATAAATTGCAACAGCATCGACATTTGTCAAATATGGAGAAACTTGCCAGAATTTTGTTGCTTAGTTACACTGGTGTGAGTGCAGTGATATAAATCACAGCAGCAACTTGCCAGAGGTTAATGAGTTGATGCTTGCATCCCTAACTGCGCATCAACTCATGCTATTAATAATTGATCATTGGACCTGCAGTGGACCAAACAGTGGGACAAGTGCCCCTCTGATTGCATTCACAGTTGCTGCAGTATACATGTTATAATTCTGGCCATTTGGGTCTGTCTGCAAATCAAAATTCTTTACTAAGATAGGGCTTATACATAGATTCCAAGAAGGCTTCAGAAGAGGGAAAGCTTTTCCACCTAGTTGAAATAATTTGGTATTAACCCATCAGACAGATTGAACAATAGCAGCAGTGTCACCATGTAAATATTTTCCCATTACACCATCCTGAAGCTTTTTTGCTTTCGTACAGAAAATAGAGGAAAAAATGACTTAAGCTCATTTTTTTTTTGTTCAGAAAGATCTGTCAGGATTGGATTCTGAATTTGTTTTAAACAACTCTTTAGTACCCTCCCCCTTCCTTCTCCAATGTTTCATCAAACCACTCCCACAAGCTAATGTTACCTAACTTTTACACAAACAGGCACAGCTCACACACATAGATTCCAGAGAAGTCTGGAATCTGGACTTGACTGTCTGCTGCTAATTGCACGTCAAGATTGCAACTAGCAGGGAAGTGTTTCTGGAAAACAGGATTGAAGGAATCTTGTGCTGAAGGTAGGACATTCACAGTTATACTTTCAGAATCAACTGTGTAGTAAAAGTGCTCATTTCTGTCTGGGAAGCACCAGAATTCAGATTACTTTTAGAGCCCTCAGGTCTGTGAGATACAGACTTTCTGAATGAGATTAAGTACTGAATATACAACTCCCTCATGAACCTCTGGAGGGAAAGATCCCAGTCTTTGGATTGTTTACCTCAGAAAGTCAAAAGGTTAGAAATGGTAGAACTCCCTTGTTGTAATTAACTAGTGTAGGGTGCTGAAGGACTAAATTAAATGAAATGCAGAAAAATCTGTGATTGTATCTCCTGATGCTTTCATTCTCATTGTCTTGTACTGGCACAGCAAATCAGCAGGAAATTTTAAAGATAAGGGGAGCCCTACAAAAAAAACATACCTTTTATAAACTAGACTTCAGAGGAGCATCAAATTTGGCATAGTTGTTCTAGATAGTCTACTTTTGCCAAATTTAGGTGAACAGTTTTGGAGTTTTGATTTTCTAAAAGTAAAACTGCCCCCCCCATAAAGAAACAGGTGACCCTAAACATTATCAGATTTAAAACAGATCACACAAATTGAAAAAAAAGCCAATCTTGATTATCTGGAAAGAGAACTATTGGCCCCATCTGCTTTTTTAAAATCTAAAAGGAATCCAGGCAGCAGAGACTGAAATATTGATCCTCAAAAAAAAAAAAAGAAAAAAAAAGAAAGAAAAAAGAAAAAAAAAGGTCTTTCAATACGGAAAAACAGTTATTTTGTTATTTTAAAAATTACAAAGATGTTACATGCCGTCGTCACTTCTGATATCTGGTGACTATATGAGTTAATGACCTCTCAAATATCATTTATAGCAGCTCTGCTCAGATCTTGCAAATCAACAACATCTCATGTAAGGTCATTCTCTCTCCCTACTGCCCTGTTTTCCTAGCAATCTTTTCTTTTCCAGTAAATTCTTTTTAGTTCTGGCAAACTAACAGTTTTGTCTTTTTCTACTGCCCCCCGCCCTTTTCCCATCAATATTGTCTTTTCCAGTCAGTTCTATATTCTCGTCATGTGTTCAAGATAGGATAACCTCAATTTACTGTATTTGCTCTAAGGAGCTGGTTGAAAAAAATGAGGGTTTTTGTTTTTTGTTAATATATTTTTATTCATCTTCATAGGGATAGGGGTTATGGTACAAATACAGGGCCAGGTAAGAGAGGGGGAAAGGTAAGAAAGGGTAAAATTCCAGAGAGCAAAAAGTATTCTTACAGAGAGCAAAAAGTATTCTTACATCTTAAATTGTATTAAAGATGGAAATCATACAAAAACAACATTATAACAATTTTCCTTAATATTTATCATTACTAATCTTCCATTTTCTTGGACTTTTTCTTTTTATCTTTATGTTTACTAGTTTTATAGGTTTAATATTATTCTGCCATCTTATATCTACTGTTCTAAATTGCTCTATTGGTTTAAATAAGTATAACCATTAATTTGCATTTATCATATATTCTTTCACCACAAAATACCATCTTAGATTTAACAAAATTTATCTCCACTGCTCTGTCTCCATATTCTAACTGTGCCAATAGTGCCGATCATGTGCTCAGGTTATGGGATCGTCTAGACTGGGTAATTGCCATTAGAATTTCTGTGTAATTTCTCTATACTTGAACTTCTGTTTTTTAAAAACTAGCAAATCCAATTCTTTAAAAGACCTCTTGTTTATGGCTGAGGGACATTGTGCTTCCATATCAACAATTCAAAATGACAGTAAATGGCCCAATATTGCTGTACAATTGTTTGGATGAGAAATGTTTGACTGATGAAAAAGGGAAGTCGGTTTCTGGGATCTTCCTTTGTATGGTGTCACTTTGTGAATGGTAGTGAGCATTTTTGGGATCGCGGACCGGGGGGGCGACCTCCGTGTGCGCGGGGGCAGGGACACTTGCGTGCTTGCAGGGGGGCATGTCACACTTGTACACGAGCACGACACACCCCTATGCAAGTGCAACACTCCCCTTGTGCAAATGCAGCACACACCCTGCACGAGAAAGACACACACCCTGCTGGAGCACGGCATGCCCATCGTGCAGGCGGGCAGGTGGGGAGGAGATCCGTCTCCGCAGCCCAGTTCTGGGAAGCCCACAGACCACCACCGGGCCACAGACCAGGGGTTGGGGGCCCCTTTCTGTAACCCAGCTTGACTGCTGCCATTGGTGTTGTCAGCATTCAGGTTGTTGTTTGCAATGTAAAGCTTGGCATCCTTTTTCATGGATACAGAATCACAATATCCCACATTCATAGACTGGAGTCCCCCCCCCCGCCCCCAAAGCATCTAAAATTAGTTCATGGAAAAAAATTCAGGCACCATACAGGCTGTTGCTTTTTCTGTGGGGGCTTGGAAGATTTTGTTTGGAAAAAGAGGGAGAAAAGTGGGAATAATAGAGCTTGGATTTGTTTGTTCTCTCTCTCTCTCTCTCCCCCCCCCCCCCAGAATCCCCCAACCAGCATGGATATTTCCTAACTGGGAAATTCCCCACCCTTTATTACTGTTATGATAATTTATGGAGCCCCTCAGTCCTGGTATCTTTCTAGGTATCTTTAAATATGTCTTCGACAGCTTCTTCCCATATCCTTTTGTTGAGATAATAATATTGACCTACTTCGAATGGTCTTGTAAGGATTATTAAGATAATACATGTGAAGCGATTTGACCATTCAGCAATAACAACTAATAATAATACTCCAGCAATATGGTGGATTATTAGAATGGCAGACTATGAGACTGGGAAGTAGAAGATAGAACTCCCTACTAAGCCATGAAGTGGACCAGCCATTTTCTATCAGCTTCACCTACCTCACAAAGTTATTGTGAGAGTAAAGTAGAGAGCAGAAGAGACATATATAGTATGTCACCTTTAGTTTATTGGAGGAAAGGTGTGATTTAAATGCCGCTAATTATATCTCCTTCTATGAGTCTGCCCGGAAGTTAAGATCATCAGGGAAAGCCTTTTTCTCAATCCCACCACCCTCACAAGTGCATTGGGTGTGGACACGGGAGAGGACCTTCTCTGTTGTTGCTCCCAGACTCTGGGACTCTGTCCCATGGAAGGCCAGGTTGGTCCCACTGTTGCTATCCTTCTGCAAACAAAGACTTTTTTTTCTTCAGGGAGGCTTTTCCTTAGTGACAGACTGTCTAGGAGAGATTTTTAAATATGATTTGCATTCTGCTACTTCTAAAGCTGTTTTGCAGTAGTACTTTACCTAATATTCTTATTATGATGTTATTAATTCATTTAATATTTGAACAATTCACTGTTTTAGCTTTAATATTGTGCTCTAATGATGTAAGTTATCTTGAGAGAAAGGTGGGGTAAAAAGATTTTATATAGATGAATAAATAGATGAAGGAGGGAAGGAAGGAAAGATTGCTATTTGAAAGGCATCAGAATGGTGCTTGTGCTTTTATTTCATCCAGAAGGAGATAAAGCCACTTACTTCTGTTTTTCTTCATGATCTTCTGCAGGGTCTCAATATCTCCACCATGTTCCTGCTTCTGTTTCTTGCACCAGGCTTGATTCTTTGTGATTCTGATGGCATACCAGCAGATGTCCAGCCTCTTGACCAAAGCCCACTTGAAGACATTCAGAAAAAAGTTAATGACTTATGGCTGAGTTTGCTTTACCCCCAGTTCTATGAGGAGCTGCTGGCAACCAACCAGACTGCTTATGCTGTGTGTGTAGTGAAACCCAACACCAAATTGGATGCAGACAAGCCACAGGTGACTGGGCATGTTCTTTTCAAGCAAGCCTATCCATATGGAAAATTGGAGGCTGTTTTCTATTTGGATGGGTTTCCTGCAGGCACCAACTTGTCTGGCAGAGCTATTCATGTTCACCAGCATGGAGACCTCAGTGACAGCTGTGACTCTGCTGGGGGACACTACAATCCTTTCAAAGTAAATCACCCTAAACATCCTGGGGACTTTGGGAACTTCTACTCTAAAGGAGGCAAAATTATAAAATACAAATCCAATCTCACGGCAACTCTTTTTGGTCCACACACCATTATAGGAAGATCCATTGTGATCCATGAACAGGAAGATGACCTAGGGAAAGGGAGCAACAAAGCCAGCCTGGAGAATGGAAATGCTGGTAAACGTCTGGCTTGTTGTGTCATTGGAACATCCAACAAAAACCAGTGGGCAAATCAGTTTGCTGAGATTCCAGCAAAGAGGAGGAAAAGGATCACAAAATAAGCACAGAACAGCTGGGCCTAGGTGAAGAACGAAACAGCGAGAGGCACTCACAATAGATTTCATATCTGGCAAGCTGGTTGCTAAACAATAGAAAAGTTTCTGCTTCCCTTGAGAAAATGTTAAGATAGGCTACTGTTCCATCATAGCCACCCATTCTGTAAGCAGATTAATAATAAAAAGCAGCAGCATATTCTTTCAAAGTTCATATTCAAGCTTTTTTTTTCTGGTTCCAAAGTTAAGTCTTGATAGATTAAGGACTCTGTGCTTGCTACTGAAATCTTGAGCAATCCCTGCTTATTGTATGTTGTATCTTTAGAAAAAATCTCAAGAACAAGAAAACTAGAGGAACAAAAGATAAAAATAAATGTGTTCCACTAAGCTGGTGTGCTGTGTTTTCCTACATACCTGAAATGCATAAAGGTATTTCTCTCCCACCCTCTCCCTGGTTTGAGAATAGGCTGGCAGACTGTGATAACAGCTTTTCTCTTACAGCTCAGGTAGGAGTTTGCACATTATTTCTTTTTTAAAACTTCAGATCCATTATTTTATCCCACTTATATTTGCAGGTTTGCTTCCTAACTCTGTTAAGCCTCTTAACTGGTTTGAGTTATCCTCAATCCTGTAGCTGTATCACACTGTTTACATTTGAAATCAGAGTTTGCAAGAACATTCCTAGATTTTTCTTAGTGGAGAAACTTTTGGAAAAAAATCCAGTTTGATGCAAATTGCGTAATACTCTTTACACGATATAGATAGGAATGGAGTGCATGCACATTAGGCTTTTTCTAAATGCTTTTTAGAGCCCATACAATCTCTATAACAGGGCAAAACACATTTTTCACTTTAACTGTTTTGCTTTTATAATTTTGAAAAACTTGTAAACTTACTCCCCTTCAAGTTAATGGCTATCCCTGTTAAAAAGATAGTTGGGAGTTCTGCCTCTAAGCAAACTTGAATTATCTGCTGAATATTGATAGTGCAAATAGTGCATTCACTTTAAAGTCTCAAACCATAATCATATTGCATTGAACTAAATATATACATCAGTTGTTTCTTACACAGTTCCAAAATTGTTTGGATGTCCTTGCAGCCTTTTTTTTCCTGACTCATTACATTTTAAAACTTTGTATCACGATTTGTGGGGATGCTTGGAAAGCTTTTGATTTAAAACTCACCTATCTGTGGCCACAACCCAAAAAAACCCCCCACAAAAAACAATGTACATATGAGGTACACGTATGCATTAGGCAAAGAGGAGAGTTAAAACAAAACCTGGCTCACTCTTCAGCCTATGGTCTAAAGTATCCAAAGAAACGCTCCACTTATCACCATCACTACCCTGCTCCAGTTTTTTAAAAAGCAAGATTGCAAAGAGCACTTGAAAGTACAGGAGAGCCACTGTGTTAAATAAACCACAGTTAAAAGCTAAGTGATGAAAGGAGTTATACATGTTTTGTGAAAACAAATTAAATACGACACAAAATGCAGATAAATTTATTAGGAAACTTTATTAAAATTGACAAAATATATTTTATTACTGGAGGACAGCTTGCAACAAAAGCAAAACATGCAAATAAACAGGCCCACACATTTAAAAGAAACTATTAATTAGTAGTTTAAAAAAAGCAATATAAGTTTTAATATTGTTTTAACACTATTATTAAAATGTATTCCTGAGATTTGAGAGATTAAAGACAGATTTTCTTGTACATAACATTTTCCTGCACATCTAAAGGATCAGCTTTTCCTGCTTTCAAAAACAAATGCTCCCTTTTGAACATTTAATATCGCTACAGCTGAAGGGGGTTCTTCAAGCATTTTATAAAAGATGCTTAAAATGTAAAATTTGCTTCCTCCACTTCTTATTGTATTTCTGCAGAAATATGGAAGGGAACCTGTAAAATCACCATAGTAAAACAAATAAACAAAAAAGAGTTTATGAAAGTAGCCTGAATTTCTGAAAATTTTCCAACATCCAAAACAGACAAAATAAAAAATCAGGAGGGCCATCACCCACCCAACCAAATGATTTAAATCCAGAGATGGAAGAGGAAGGAAAATCCCTTTGTCCCTTTGGCTTTTTTTACAGTTGATTTGGTACAATTTGCATACCCCCTACTTACCTGATTTTAATGATGATGATGATTGTGGCTAAAGGTAGCAGGTGAGATGATGATGATAATATATTTATTA